AGGGTCCCAGAGAAGGACTCAGGAGGGAAGGAGAAGATATGGGAGCCCTCAGCCATGTCATAGAAGGAGACGTCCCCATGAGCATAGTCCAGGAAAACCCCCACCTTGTGGGGGACCTGCCTGAGGGGTAGACGAGTACGAGGATCGGTACAGGCTGAAACTGTTGTTTGGAATACTTTCACAGCCCAGAACCCATTCCAGGGATATGTGGCCTTGTATCTTGTTTCCTCATCTTCCCTCCAGACCCCCAGATCCCAATCCCACCAGCTACTGGCTCCACCCCTGACCTCCACTTCCCAGTAACAGCGCCCTGATGTGATGCCCTCAAGGCCCCAAACTCTGTATCCTCCTTCTATTCCATCGTGATGACAGGTTAGACTCTTCTTGTCAGGGGAGAGGGCAATTCTGCGGTGGCAGTAACGTGGATCCAGAGTGACAGACCCTGCAGAGAGAGGTCCCCATTATCCAAGGAATCTGTTCCAAACCAAGAGCAAACATTTACCTCACCCCAGACACTTAGCTGTTGGGGACAGGGATAGGCCCCCTGAAATGAGAGCCTCAGGACTCCAGTCCACAGCCTCACAGCAAGAGAAGGAGCTGCAAGATTTATTGGGGTCAGATATGTCAGGACCCCTGGGGACCCACCTGGATTCCAAGCACTAAGGAGCTCCTCAGCTCTGCACCCAGCTCTGTGATGTCACAACTGCACCCACCCCCACGCCCAGCAGGGTGCAGAGTGTGCCCACACAGAGCACAGAAGCAAAGGCCAGCGCTGAGCAGCCCCAGGGAGACAGAGTCACTCACAGGCCTGGAACCGCTCCTTCCGCCAGTCTGCAAGAGACACAAGGGTCACGTGAGGGTGCTGGACACTGAGCACAACAAGGAAACACAATTTACAGGGGCAAACGTTTGAAAACATTTAGTTGGATGCATTACCATTTAATTCACACACACACAAAACCCAGTATGTCGCAACTTTGCCATGAAAGTTAAGCTTGATTCAAGGGACTGAGAAACTGGATCCCACCTGACAGAAAGACCTTCACTGAGACACAGCCATCATGTGTGTTTAAGTCACAGCCACACACCAATCCTGCATATAACTTCTCCTGAACAACTCAGTCTCTACAGGTGAGAGCTGCTTGGAATGGGAAGAACCCAGATGCAGGTGAAAGCCCTGGGAAGGGCCATTATGTGGGTTACCCTGCCCTAACTGGGAGCAGCTACCTCCCTGTGTTTACAGTGAAAATGTTTGCAGCATTTATCATAGTTGGTGCTCTTAGCTTCTGGATTCAAACATGCACACACACGCGCTGGCATGTGTAATGCAAACGTCTGGAAAGTGAAGCCATAAAGCTCAATACTTAGGGATTGGAGGCTGGACACCACTACATAGAAAGGACTTTACACTGACGTGACTATCAAATTTTGCTTTTTAAGAAAACCCACCCAGAAAACTAGGTTTTCTTGAAAAAGAACTGTGAAGATCAAAATGTCAGGGACCACATGTACTTCTAAAGAACTAATGAATGCAAGGAGCAGCTTCTCTCTCAGCCAGAGGCAAGAGAGCTACGACCAGCCCGTGCCCGTGTGACCCATGGCATTGCCTCCCGGACAGCACAGTGTATGGGGTCTGGAGAATGGAGCCTGCGAGACAGCGCTCCTCAGGTTACTTCTGAAGTAGCCGGTGTGTCACAGAAAACAACCAAACAGAGAGAGCGACTCCTTCACCAAGCTGCACGTGGGGTGATGGTGACGTGCGTGTGGGGTGATGGTGACGTGCATGAGGAGACTCGGGACCTACAGCCGAGGGTCCGGCCCACCCAGGAGGGGATGGCGGGTCTCGGGGGAGGGAGACAGGCAGAGTGGGGACAGGGACACACACTGAGAGGATCCACACTGGTGACACTGTGGTGGGCCGAGGGTGTCCTGAATAAACTCCACACACAGGACTTAGGGGCCCCACCCGCGCCCCAGACCTAAGAGATCAAGACTCCAAGGACCCCGAATCCCACCACGTCACCACCATGGAGGGTGATGCTGGTGTCTGAGGGTGGGTGAGCAGCCAGGCGTGGTAAGAGCCAGATATGTGGTCCTTGTGGTGTTTGGTCTTTCTGTGCCTCTCCGTGTGCTCTTGGGGTTCCAGCCCAGTGGAAAGGGTAAAACACATTCACTAACTCATCTCCCTCTTCTCCCTGAGTTATTCCTTTCTCCACCTCCACTTTTTGTAAAAAAACCCCTTATTAACCTCAGGTGTGTCTGTCACTGAGTCTTATAAATCACGTTAAACACTTGGGTGAGTCCCCACAGTCAGGCCAACCACATCAGGGTTGTCCTGTAACAACATCTTTCTACTATTTCATGGTCATGGGGACAAACTATCCCCACAGAAGGATACCAATAAAAAAATATTGATCGACTCCTATGCTTTCTCCATGAATAGCCCAATGAGTTGGAAGCTTCCAAGGAAAACCGAGCTGCATGAGCAGAATTATGGCTCCAAATAATCCATGTCCTAATCTAACAACCTGTAAATGTGTCTTGAACAGAGGAAAGGAGAAATCTGCAGGGGGGGAAGAGACAACACCTGGAAACAGGAAGGTTACTATGGATCATGGGGGGAGCTGGGACCCCGCACTGTGCTCAGGGTCAGTCACGTGTTCTGGCAGCAGGGCACAGAGAGGCCACCTGGCAGCTGTATGGACAGAGGGTGGCGACCCGTCAGTGCAGGGTCGAGGTCCCAGGAGAGGAGGGGTTTCTGGCAGAAAGCAGCTGCCAGACCCGAGACTGAGCCCAGGACTGGTCTCAGGTGTCTGCCCTGGGTGTGTGAGATTACGCACTGTGGGAGATGCTTCTCAGTGTGGGGGGGGGGGCCTGTGTCAGCAGCAGCTGGGCTCTGATGCCCCATATGGAGCCCAGGTAGGGGAGCAGGGGTGTCAGGGGATGGTCTGCGGGAGCACTAGGGCTCCATGATGCTCATGGAGATGGAGGACCCAAGAGTGTCACCTGCTGTAAGGAGATAGAGTGAGAGAGGGGTCTGGGGAACAGGAGGAGGGATGATGGGTGGGAGAGGAGGACAGGATGGGGGACAAGAGGGAGGACCCAGAGGTTTATTCATTTGCTGACCAGAGACAGACCCAGACCCTGACTCTGCTGCAGAGGTAGGATCACCCACAAGCCCTGGTGACCAGACGGGGATCTGAGACCAGTAGCCCAGGGCCCTGAAATGACTGAATGGGGAGCACAGGCCCCTCTCCCCCAGCACCCCAACACCGTATCATACGCAACTCTGCCTGGGAAGGAGGAGGCAGGTCACTCCCCACACTCAGGTCAGACACAGCAGGACTCTGAGAGCCCATGGGGAGAGCTAGAGTTTTCCAACCGTGTGAGGAGAGAGGGAGAGAAGAGTCAGGACCCACACTCAGACACAAGGAACACCTTCTTGTGTACTTTGTGTATCAACGTGTGACCTAACCACACCTGCACACTCACTCAGAGATACCACCGTTTCCATCCTGTTTGTTAAATACAAAAAACATGAATTCTGCAGAGGCTGGAATGATGGTAAAGACAAGTCTGTGATCCTCACTGTGTGGAAATGAGCCCCAGGGGACCAGGGAGACCCTGAGGAGGACCTTACACCCCTGGCCAGGCCCCTCTCCAAATCCCCCTCCCCGTGTCTCAGAGTCTGTGCAGGACCATGGAACCCAAGAGCACGGAAAGGGTGAGAGACTCAGGCACACCAGGCCCAGCTCTCCCTTCACCACCTCCCCAACCTCCCTGCAGGCCCCAATGTCCTGGACACTTGGGGCCGTGGGCCAGCGGAGGGAAGAGCTCAGATCAAAAGCAGCTCAGCTAGACGGTCGCCTCAGTAGTGGCTTTAAGTGCACGTTTGCCTGAAATACTTCAAAAAGCCCCTCTGCATTTCATTTCAGGCTCGGACAGCACCTGCCGGGCACCAATGAGAGGTGGTGACTGCGCCCTTGGCCACTCCAGTCCCGATACACCCAGAGGGCGCGTCTCCCACTCGCCCCTCCACTCCTTCCCGTCTCTCTCTCTCTGAACATATAGACTTTTCTTTCAAAATTTTGCCCCTACTTGTTGGACATGGATTATGACCATTCTATGTTTGTGCTTTTCCAATCGACATAATTAACCTCTAAAAAAATATATAAGCTAATTAACAGTGAATTCAAAGAATTCAAAAAAAGGTGATGGCTCTGAACAATCATACACGGCTTATCTTGTTACAAAGACACACAACTTTAGCAGACACACACACACAAACAGGATTTTGCTTATAATTGCAGCTATTTCACAGCCTGCCACCCAGGAGTCCACAAATATCTGCCCTAAAGCAAATGATTCCTCAGCAAGCAGAAGGCTACAGGGAAAATCCAGCTGGACATGACAGGGCAAGGAGACAGAGAACCAAAGGAAACAGGAAACAAAACTACACACAAAAAGGATCCCCCCTCCCCACCCTTAGCAGAACAGACTCATGCAGGCCAGCAGGAGGTCTGGAATCTTCCAGAGATCACACACTCCTGCTCCACAAAGTTCTCATCCGCTGCAGCCTCTCTCACACTGACCCCACTGGCCTCCCCACAGGAAGGACCAGGGGACACAGGGTGTCCTGACCTCACATGACCTGAGTGGGGTCAGGACAGGGGGAGACTGGTCTGTGCTCACAGGGGCCTGCAGGTCTCAGATGGAGGCTTTAGGGTGAGAGGAGACCAGGGTGCCACCCATCCTGGTGGGGTCCCCAATAAAGAAGGGGCAGAGAGGAGGCTGGGAGATCTCAGGGCTTCAGGGCCACTCACCTGCATACAGCTGGGCCTTCCTCCAGCCTGGAAGGGAACACACAGGGGAGACTCAGCACAGCCACCTGGCATGGGGTCCCCAGGCCTGGGCTCCCCTGTTCTGCAGGGGAGACTCTAGGAGGTGAGGGGAGAGAGGCTGAGGGTCTTGACCTCCTGCCCAGTGCAGACACAGAGGTGGTGGGGATCCCTGGCTCAGGTCAGAAGCCTGCAGGACACACTGACCCACCCTGTGCTGCTGCTGGGGGTTTGGACCAGTCCCTGGGCAGCTCTGGGCCCTCAGCCTGCAACGCTCCTGCTTCACCTGCTACTCAGTGTTGCTGCACAGGATCAGAAACAGTAAATGGGCAGATGCATTTTTAATGTATATATTAGTCCATACGTATCATATTCACTATTTCCTAGGAAATAAAGACACAGCGTGGACATCACACCACCTGCAGGGTACAAGTGACCTGCATTTCTCAGATGAAATATTCCTAGAGATAAACACTCTCTGGGAGGTGGAAAGTCCCCCCACCCCCTCCCACGCAGGTTATCCCATCCTCTCCCATCACTACTGATCAGCACCTTCAGGAACAGGGAGAACAGACTCCCTTGGGTGGGGGCTTTGGGGAGAGGGGGCAGAGGAGGCCACTCGTTTAAACTTCAGGAGCCCACTGATGTATAAAGCCTCAGAATAGTCGGCCTGACAAAGAATGAGATGCACTGAAGGCCAGTGCTTGGTGGGAGGGTAAGGGCTGGAATCAGGCCAAGATGCCCGAGATTTCCAGGGGTCACCACCCACCAGGATCCCAAGACTGGGAACGAAATAGCACCCAGATCTGGGAGAGTCCCCAGAACATTGTCCTGCCTCCACCAGCTCCCACTGCCACCACAGGGAACAGGTCCACATGTCTGTGCTCAGACAGAAAAGGGGGGGGCACCTGGGCCAGACCCCAGGACACCCACACATCACTCACCAACCAGGTAAGCAGCCTTCCTCTGGGCTGAAAAGCAACACAGGGAACAGGTGAGCTAAGGACCAGAATGTCTGCTATGAAGGGACATGGAATTCAGGAGGGAGACGGAGCTTACCAAGAGCCGCCTGGAGCTCAGCTAAAAAAGAGTGAAAATATAAGCATAAAATTAGTCCCTAAGAAGAAAATCTGAGAGCCTAGAGATCAAAAAAAAAAATCAAACTGCTCTCCATCCCAGATGATCCAACTCCAGGAATATCCAGTCCTCAGAGTTCCCCTGTCCTCTTTGGGTCTCTTTGGACACCTCTCTCACCTCCCTGCCATGTGGGCCCTTGACACAAGCTATGCAACATCTATTGTCTGACAGATTCTGGGTAGATCGGGAAAAGCTCTGAAAAATCAAACTTTCCATGCTAGCTTATGTTATGACCTCCCTTTTTTGTATAACCATAATATCAAAATATTCTGAGCAACTTTCAGCTTACAGTTGGATTGCCTCAGCTGCACAAGGCCTGCCTTCCTTAACAAGCAAGCACTGCACCAGGGTGAAAAAACTCCCCTGAAGTCAAGTGACTTGACTACTGACTGATAAATAAAAGCAAAAGGGCTGTTTTTGCAAAGTCTCTCTCACTGCCGGATGGAGGAAAACTCAAATCTTATCATTCTATTATCTCACCTAGCCTTCTATTCAGCCTTTTAAAGAATTACTCAAACTTCCTATTGTTTGGCCTTTAGATGTGGAAACTCATCCAGGTTGCCTATTTTTAAACTAGTCAAGTTTTCTATCTGCTACACCTTAAAGGAGTCCACAAAAGTCTTCTGGCTAGTCTTTCGGGATTCTACTATGTAGTCTTTAGATAAGGAAATTCACCTATGTCTCCTATTCAGAGATTTCATTAGCAAGGAATTTCCTCTTCTGCCTCCCAGGATGACTCAGGCAGAAAAACAAAAACCCATTAAGCAATAGATAAGGTTTAAGGGGCTTCTATCTAAGTTGATCTCCAATATAGTAATACTAGTCATAGTGCACCTATGTACCTGTTTTTAACCTTGATTGATTTTGGAATGTTATATCTCAGCTAAAGGACAATACGACCCTAAACTGTTCCTAGAAAAAAAAATATTATTGTAATCTCTCAGCCCAGTTTGTGTGCTGATGTCATCCCACTGCTTGCTCGTAATGTATAAAATAAACCTCTGCTGAAGGCAGAGCAGGAAGACTTGCACCCAACTCTGACTCCCATGTCTTCCTCGCCCCCCTTCCCCCTTTTTCTCCTTCTCCCCTTTTTAGGAATCTCCACTCGCTGACGCCTTCCCACCTTAGGGTCCTGCCTGTCTTGCCTTCAGACATTTCAATAGTTGGAGCTGGTCTCCGACAGACCCTGGGTGTTAGTAGGGTACAACCATCTCACACCAACCCTGCATTCACCAGCTTGTCCCGCCTCACCTGTGTCCTTCAGGGCCTCCTCCCTGGCCTGTCTGTCCTCCTCCTTAGCCAGGTGCAGTGTCCTCTGTCCCTGCAACTCCTGCATCATTCTGGAATGTTCTCTCCAGGTGCAGCAGGCAGCCCCCAGGAGCAGGAGCAGCAGCAAGGGCAGGATGACCAGGAGAGCCGGCTTCCAGGGGGAGACCCGGGGGAAGAAGGGCTCTGCAGACAGACACCCACCAACACCCCATCAGGACACAGCCAGGACCCCCAGCCCACCTTGTGGGGTGCCGGCCCCTCCCTCTGCCCTGCAGGGAAGGGAAGGGAGCAGCGCTGACCTGGGATGACCATGGCCATGGCCTTCTCTTGGCGCAGGATGGGGTTGTGGATGGTGCAGGTCACATTCCCTGCAGCGCTGTCTCTCACCACCAGGGCGGCCTCCACTCTGAACAGCCCCTCAGGGTCCTGGGCCTGGGCCTGGGAGAACCCCAGGAGCTGCTCCCCGCGGAGGTCTCTCCACTGCACCTGGGGCTCCGGGAACCAGCCCGAGGCCGTGCACACCACATGCACCCCATCCTCCTCTGGCCCGGTGATGTACACTTGGGGGACAGAGCCCACACCTGCAGAGGGAAGATGAGAGCCAGGGGGACAGGATCCACCTGTGCACACCCTCAGGGGAGGCTGGCAAGGTGCTTTTTGGGGAAGACTTCACATCTGGGGTAAGGACTGAGGGAGCAAGATGATGACCTGACATTTCATCTCTATCTTTCCACCTATTGCTTTTATAATTATATAAACGTGCTCAAATCTTGGTAGAAATCTTTTCTGGTTAGAGGAATATACCTTAAAATCCATAAACAGCTGTATTTTCTCATTTATCACCAACATCTCAACCTTCACAATGCAACTTCAAACTCATGCTCTTCAAACACAAAATTACACACCTGAAGTCATGCTGTTGTCTCCTAGAGGTAAGTTAGTAATAAAAATATTCCTAAGTCTTCATCCTTCTTCATGTCTAGCTCACACTGTGCCACAGCTTTTGGGTCCCTCACACTCTGGCCCTGGGTTCAGTCACGTGATTCCTGTGCCTAGTGAGGGATCAGCCCACGTGACTCAGCTGAGGCCACAGTGCTGCCCAAGGCCTCCCTTTGCCCTCCTCATGGAAGGACATCGCAGTCAGGGGCTGGAGGAGAAGCCCAAAGGGCAGGCCTGTCAACAGCCTTCCCCTGATGCTGTCCCCCTCAGCCAGGAGCCAGTGATTACACTTATGGTACCATCAAGTCAGGGTCTATGTGATGATGCTTTAATCTCACCCAAAGGTAGGAGAAAGGTCAGTCAAAGTTAGTCAAGTCCAAATCAGGTCAGCTGAAGTCCCCATGTACATTTACATCAGCCCATGCAAATACAAGTCCATCCCGGTAGGCCGCTGAGATTATCCCTGTGGTTGTTACATAGCAGCATTATGGCGACAGGTAACTGATGCGCAGCATTAATGTTCCTCACATTAAATATCAAACAGACTTGACAAAAGCCTGGAAGCCTCTGCAACCCCTTCTTCCACTGTGAATTCTGTGACCCAGTTCTCCTCATTCACTGGGACTTGTAGTTTTTTATTTTTGGATATTCTATTTTGATTATCATTATATATGTATTTCCATCACTTTCATTAGTGTTCAGTGTGGGCTTTTTCATCCCTAGCGCAGTCCCTGTGAAGTTCCCACCCCCAGCTCACCCTGCGCCATCTCCATATTCCCTGCGCTCTTCCCTCCCATGTTGCGATCCTGCGCCCCAGCCCCCACTGAGAGACTGTTTGTGATTTATAGTTTGTTAATTCTGGCATTTATTTTGTTTTTTTTAACATTTTCTTTTTATTTTTTTTATTTATTTTTTTTAATTATTACAAAAGTTTATTTTTACATCATTTTCCACATTTTTTTTTGCCATCTCGATTGTAATCCCCGCAGGCTTCCCATCACCAAATCACCCGTGTGCCACCACCGTAGTCCCGTGCATTTCCCTCCCTTCCCCCCACCCCCCCGTTTTTTATCCCATTCCCCACTCCACCTCCACTAAATGTCTCTGGTATATGGTTGTTCATTATTTTTGCTATTTTCTCGCCTGGTCCATTATACTCCTGCCATGAGTGAAACCATCCCGTATTTTTCTTTCTCTTTCTGGCTTATCTCACTAAGCATGATCTTTTCTAGCTCCATCCAAGTTGCTGCAAAAGACATGTGTTTCTCTTTTTTGGTTGCTGAGTAATATTCCTTTGTATATATGTACCCCATCTTTTTTATCCAGCCATCTACTTTTGGGCATTTGGGCTGCTTCCATGTTTTTCCAATTGTAAATAAAGCAGCAATAAACATGGGGGTACAAATATCTTTTTCAATCAGTGTTTTTGTGTCTTTTGGGTAGATACCTAGGAGTGGGATTGCTGGGTCGTAGGGAAGCTCCATGTTTAGCAGTTTGAGGAACCTCCAAACAGTTTTCCATAGTGGTTGTACTAGTTTGCATTCCCACCAGCAGTGCAGGAGAGTTCCTTTTTCTCCACATCCTCGCCAACATTTGTTGTTGCTAGTTGTTTGGAGATGTGCCATTCTCACTGGTTTTAATTTGCATCTCCCTTATTACGAGTGATGTTGAACATTTATTCATATCTGGCATTTATTTTGTTAGAATTTCTTTTGCTTTTTTCTCCCTGATCTATTCTTTGGATCCTCTACATTCCTCCTAAGAGTGAAACCATCTAGTAATTTCCTTTTTCCATCTGGCTTATTTCACTAACCATGATCCCATCCAGTTGCTGCAAACGGCACGAGTTTATCTTTCTCAGTTGCTGATAAATGGGTCTGACTCCTAGTCCCCACTGATGGCGCCTTCATCCCCACTGCCACTGTGTGAGCCGCTCTCCTCTGCCCCGAGGCTGCATCCACACGCGCAGACATTGTCCAACTGCCGGAGTCCCTACTCCAAGCACTGCTGTGCTGAAACTCTTCAAAAGCTCCACGTACACACCCCACAAGCTGCACCCCAGACCCCTCTATCAGCGACTGACCCCCCCTCCTCTGCTACTAACCACAGTCACAGGTCTGTGGGCTCCATCATCCCTTCTTTATCTACTCTGAGGGCCTTTGTGGGACCTTGTCTGCTAAAGTGATGACCCAGAGCAAATACCTAGATCATATGGAGGATTTTTATAGTAACTTTTGGTAGCATTAATCATCTACCCTGACCTCTCTGCCACGTACTCACAACATCCTTCTATGACAGTGCTGTCACCTCACAGCACCCTCCTCCTCACCCTTCCCTCCAGCCCTGAATGTAACCCAGACTGAAGCCAGACACATTTCAGGGGCACACCCTGGAGGGGGTGCTTGTGGTAGATAAAAGCCCCGGGGAAAGGGGAACAAAGTATCAGCAGGGCTGGAACCTCTGATAAGGAATACAAGGGCCTGCAGGAGAAGCCCTCAGGAGTCAGCGGTCCAACACTCAGTGGCTGGGATTCAGGGCTTTGGAATTCAGTATTTTAGGCTCTTCTCTCATTCCAAAGCTGCTCTGATCTCCCAGAGGCTGTTGTGGTCCTCCAGACGACATGGAGAGGGCTCAGCAGCCGACCTCAGAGAGGAGAAGTTCGAAGGCCTTGCAGGTAGTCATGAGAATAAAGCTTTTCTGTTTTGCTGTTTTTATAGCCTGGAGCAGAAAGCTGCAAACCCGCAGCCAGGCATTTCACTGAGTGTGGCTGCTTATAGGTGGTTCTGCTGCTGCCAGGCTGCTCTGAGTGTCCCATGCCTGGTGCTGCGGCATCTCAGCAGCTCCATAGTATCTCTCCTCGTGTTTCCTTGTCTCCCAGCTAAGTTGTCTGGCTCCTACGTGCTCCAGGTCCTACTGGCAGGAAGACGCCATCTTTTGTGGTCTTTGCTCGGGAGAGGGGCTCAGCATCCTCAGGGGTGGGAGGATGCCATCTTGGGAGCATCTGTGTTTAGGATGTTACAACCCTGGACACACTTAGGGTAAGGTAAATGACCATTTGTGACCTCAATAGTCTTTGTTTTCCATGGTTTGCTAAATAGATCACATTATTGCTATTTTCTGAACCTATGTAGTCTTGCAATTGTGTGGACAGGTGAAGAACATGGACAGTGAACAGTAAACTAGGACACTGAGTGTCCTTGGCCAACTTGAGTGCCCCGGGCTGCCTTACATCAGTTGGCAACCAGCCAGGAGGCGCTCCCAGGGGAACAGCCCAAGGATCCTGCCCCGTGTTGGTCACCTTAAAGCACAAAGAAATTGCAAGACACCCAGAAGAAATTGGTTCAGAAAAATTCTTTTTTCTTGAATACCAGTCAACCATCCATATGGGAGTTCTGCTTCTCCTCCACCCCCATGTGCTTCTGTTTTCCCAATTAGAAATTTTGAGTTGACAAATTTTGTAAAGTCCAGTACTGACAAGTTAACATCTTTAATACTGGAGATTATATGGACACAGAGTGGAAATATGAGCACAAATGTTGGATTTATGTTTAATGGAGACCTCTTGGCTGTGTTTGGGCAAAAACAACTGCAAGGAGAGATAAAGAGATTGGAGGAGAGCAGAGAGCTGGTCCTCTGGATGTCAAATTCACAACAAATGAGCCCACTGGGTGGCACAGAGAACAGTGATTCACCCATTTGCCTGACAGTGGTGATAAGGAGGCGCAGGGAAGGAAGGACACTCATGGTGGCAGCCTCAGACCCAGCAGCACAAAATCCCTTCTGTGTGTCTGGTCCCCTCCTGAGGAGGCTGTGAGGGCTCTGTAAGCTTCACTGCCCTTCAGCAGTAATAGTGAAATAATTTCTCATTCCCATAGCAGAGGAAGTATCAGTATGGTCAAAGAAACAGCTCTGGGGCAGGACAGCCCCCTTCACCAATATCCAGTGGGGGGGATTAAATGAAAATGGTCAGCCTGTTGGGTATCACTGATCTTATAGTCCCTTTAGCAATGGAAGTCTCATGAATTGGAAAAATTCTGTCTTTTCCCATAGACAAAACCCTAAAAATATGGTAGAATTGTTTGCATTGTTTTTGCCTCTCATCGATCCACTTGGGCCGACATGCTGTCTATGCTGCATACACCACTCACATGGGGTGAACAGAGACAGTCAGGGGCAGGCCAGGGAAGAAGTGGGTCGTCTCACTTAGAGGAACAAGGCACCCAGAGGCGGATGAGGCTGTTCCTCTGGCTGACCCTGTCAGGAGTCCCAATAATGGAGTTATGAAATCTTGGGACACTGCCAAAAGTGCTTGTTAGCAGGACTCAGGCAGGGGACCCCAAAACAGAAGAGTCTCAATAAGGTCATGGTGGTGCAGCAAAGGCCAAATGAAGAGCTGCAGAATGTTTGGAAAGAATAAAACAGGCCTATCACGCTTACAGAGATTTAGAAACTGAAGCCCCAGAGAACCTAAGAATAGTAGAACGTATTCATGTCACAATGTGCTCCAGATAGAAGGGAAAGTTGAAAAAATTGATGGTGTTGTGGAATTGGCTACTTCCCCATTAGTGGAATAATAGAATGCATAGCAGTAGGAGGGAAGGAAAACCTGGGCCTGAAACAGTATTATATGAAGAGAAGTCAGAACAGAATTCAGAAGAAATAGAGAAGGGACAAGAGATACTTGAAGAAAAGAGCAATGTGCTTTCTGTAATGAGGAAAGCTACTGGGAAAAACAGATGGTCTTCAGAAAGAAATGGAAAGGGGAAATGGAGAGTGTAAAAGTAAGTCCATCACAGCATAGATTGGGGATTCATGTAAGCATTGAAGAGCTGGAAATGAAAAAAAAAAAAGAACAGAAAGGGAGAAAAAAGACAGCCGTTATGCAGGAGGATGGATCAGATGAGGAATGGGGAACCCAAGGATTCCACTGAATATAGAAAGGCTTCATCTTTCCCTTTTAAAAATGCTGATGCCTCCATTGGTGGACAACTGGCAGCTTGACGAGTGCTGTCACTGCCATGACTACTTGCTGTGCCATTGTCTTGTACATCGCTGTTTGCAGCTGCACCCGTGGGGAGCACTTGTCCAATTCTCACCATATATATATATAAACCGGAAGTGCCACTGTGACTGGTGGCGCCCCTTAGAAGGGGGAGCTGGTGAGGATGGGGAGCCCCAGGGAAAATGCCAACAAGCTATCAGTGGGGTGGAAACTGATAGAAACATAAGGACTGCAGAAGCAGCCCTGCGGTTCGGTGTTCTACGTTCAGGTTTCAGAATTTAACATTCAGGAATTCAAATTTTTAGATCTTCAGTAATTTCAGGATCAGCAACTTCTGCCCCACCATGCATATCTTCCAGAAGGCTGTTGTAGGCCTTTGAAGGCAGTGGAGAAGGCTTCAGTACTCAGCATCAGAGAGGAAAAGTTCAGCAGCTTTGCAGGTAGCAGAGCAACTGCAACTGTTTCATTTGCTGCTGTTGCAGCATGGAAGGGAAGTTGAAGATCCAGTGACGGTTGCTCCCTGAGCTGTGAGCGTGGCCGGTTTCTCAGACCATTCGGCTACAGCAGCTGCAGTGTCCAGTATCATTTGTCTGGTGCTGGGCTGGGGCATCTTGGCAGCTCCAGGAGCATCCCCTGTGGTATCTTCTGTTGTCTTTGTGAGTTGGATCAGCCTATGGTCTGGCTGGCAGGTGCTCCAGATCATCAGTGCCAGGAATATGCCATCTTGGGATGTTTGTGTTCAGGGCTTTCAAACACTGGACACAACTTCAGGTGAGGTAAACAGCCATTCGTTGTCTCAGTAACTCTTTATTTGTCCCCAGTTTGTTAAATAAAACCCAGGTTTTTTTCTGAATCGTGTTGGGCCCCAGCTGGGATGAGCCTGCCAACCACCCCCGGAGCTTAAGCACAAGATCATAATAGGAAGAAAACATCTTGCCACCTGTGTGAGTGGCTTAACCTTTGGGCAACTGATTAATATCCGCCCTGATAGCAGTAGCACATGTGAGGGAGATTTCCTCCTGCCCCCAGGCCAACATCCTGGGATTAAGGGTATAAAAGGGAGGCTGGAAAGGATAAGAGGGGAGAGAGAACGTTTTGCTGCAACCATCTACATGCGCTGACTCTTCAACCTCGACGTCCCCCGCGCAGACTGTTATCCCTGCCGTGCGTGTGCAGCAGAATCTGAGGACGTGGGTGTGCACGTGGGTGAAGAACTCTGACGGTAACCAATAAACTATCTGGGCAGCATCCTAGGCCAGTTTTATGCCTCTTGCTGATGATATCATTAGACTTCATTTGAGACAAGAATACACCACACACACACTCACCCCTGGTCAGTCACACTAGTTGTCACTCCACATGAATTGCCTTCCCTGTAATATATAACATGTCTATAGACAACTAAAATTACTATGTGAGAGGTATAAAATGTTTAAAAGACTAACTCCAAAGATTATTTTTTCATGAGAAAATTTTTCTGTTTTCCTTTTTTTTTATTTTATCTGTAATAGAAGATGGATGTTATTTGACCTATTGTTGCCATCATTTTACTGTATATAAATCAGTCATTATGCTGTGTGTCTTAGACTTACACATAATGTATGTAAACTATCTGTCTATGAAACTGGGGAAAAAGGAGCACCCACACATCAGATAACTACTAGGTATGATATATTTCCCAGGAGTCTTTCCTGCAATGGCACCAGGCTCAGCTACTAATTATTACTGAAAATTGCCCTCAGTCCCAGACCAACAATGCTGACCTGTTTCCCCTGAACTTTCAGTGTTGGTCATCATCACTTCTCACTCTTAACATCGCCTATACCCTGGTTATTTATTGCAATTTCTCTACCTCCCACTAAAAATATAAACAGAATGAAGGACTTTATTAGAATTGCTGATGTTTAGAACAGGGCCAGACATTTAATTGGTACCCTGTATATTTGCATTTAATAAAACATGAATTAATTACTCTTTTCTTACTCATAAATGAAATGAAAAAGTAAATTGCTTTGTCCTTATTTTCTCCCCAATTTCAAAACTCCATGAGATATTTAACATGTCACCAACCTGCCACCTGCAGCTCCAATCTGGCTTGGTCAGAGAAGACACCGTTGCTGAAGAAGCAGGTGTACAGCCCATTGTCAGCAACCTTCACCTTGTGGATGGTCACAGAAGCCTCCCCCTCACTGAGGAATTCCCTCATCAGCGAGGTCCGCCCTGCATACTGGGCCATCAGCTGCTCATTCTGTTCCTGTCGGTCTTGATAGATGAGCACTGACTCCCAGATATTGGACCTGAACAATCTCACCTCCATGTTCTCTGCACTCATGGCTGGGTCCAGGAAGCAGGACAATGTGATATCCTCACCCATTGCTGCCACAATGGGGTCTGAGGGGGCGAGCACCTGGAATATCTCTGAACAAAGACATGCAAATTAGAAAAGTTGAGACACACACCCAGAGCAAGGAACAGATATGTAAAGTACAAAAAGGTGACCAAGAGGAAGCTATTGACATAAAGGATTGAATAGTGAAATTCTGAGCCTGGGAATGATCATTGAACCACAATTTGTGGTCTAGAAAGAATGACAAAGATTTTCCCACATTCATGGATGCACCTGACAGCAGGGCCTTCAATAAAAGGCTGACTCAGTGGTGCTGACTTCAGCATCACAATCATCAGGAGGGCTTGTAATGTAACATGTAATGTAACATAGCCTAAACCTGAGGCACGAGATTAGGATGTGTCCAAGAACTTGCATAGTTCATTGTAGTTCCTGGGGAATGAAATGTTGTCAGAAGAAATTCGTAGCTTCACTCCACAAAGGGTCATTAATATTAATGAGTGGAACTGCACACCAGGGGAATGTCACAGCTTGCAATAAAATTAGAATGACAGGAAAATCTGGAAAGATGGTTGCAGAGTAAAGACACTGAGATCACTGCATCCAGAATCGCTCAGGAATTTAGGACTGAAAACAGAATATAGACTTACATATTACGAGTTTCAACCCAAATTAGAACACCCTGGACTCACTAGAAGGAAGATAACTGAGGGAGAATGGGCGATTGGGGAGTTCCCATTGGTAACCCCCTCCCAGGAACACTCAAGCACCTGGAAGTTTGGTGGGCTGCAGGAAACACTTTGCCCCTCTCTAAAGCCCTGGCGGTGAAGGGGGACAGCTCAGCTCGGTGAGTGGAGCCCAGGCTGAGGAAAAACTGCAAATCTGATCTGGAACACCTGGGCGCTGCACAAAGCCGCTGAGACTGCAGATCCGACCTGAGCACCTGGGCTCTGGGAAAAGCTGCTGATGGACCAGCTCGACCAGCTCGGGAATGGTCAAAATGGCAGCAGAGTAAAGAGGCTGAGGAATATATAAAAACAGACTATAGACTTACATGCTACGAGTTTCAACCCAAATGAGAATACCCTGGACTCACTAGAAGAAAGATAACTGAGGGAGAATTGGTGATTGGGGAGTTCTGACTGGGAACTACTATCCAGAGGCGCCACAGACAGGAAAAGTGGAATACTGCAACTCCAATCCATCAGGGGAACACCCAGGCTCTAGCCACAGATGGAGGCTTCCTGCTCATTTGGCTTGGTGAGTAGAACTGAGCTGGGTGGGGGAAAAACTGCGAAAGTGTGCATGTAAATCTTGGGGGATGGGGATCTGGTGACTAGGGCAGCTGCAAGGCTTTCACACTTTCACCCACCCCCACAGCATAGGCCTGGAGGTTTGTTCCCAGCATTACTCACTAAGGTGAGGCCAGCAAGTTCACAAAGCCCCTGAGATAAAAGGGGGGAAAAAAGAAAACAACAGTTAGACTGAATCAAAACAGGCCCATTAACACTCCCCCAAGTGGTAGGAAAAGACTGCTCAGGAAGAGACAGCTCTGAGTGGGCACAAAGAGCCCTGAAGGGCAAGTTGGAAGTCTGACAGCCTGCACAACTGGAGGGTGTGCAGAATTAGGACTCAAGGCATTACTGAACAGCAATGGCCGGAAGACATGTGAGCCAGTAAGGAACTGCCTTGCAAGGTTCACATTGCTCAAAAAATAAACAAAACCAGTGACTAGCTCAACCACAGGCCCAGCTACAACACTTCTAATGCACCACAACCTCTGGGCATGCATCCAAGCATAGAGGGAACCCAGGACATCAGAAAGCTACAAAGATCAACAGGCACCTTCGAGAGACAAGGACTCAACGAGTTACCAGAAAAACCTGAACACCACAAGAGAACCCTGAGCATCACTGGTAGATTCGACAGACATAACTCCACACTGTAGGGGCTGGAAAAACAGGAGATATTGAAACAAAACAAGGTTCAGTTCAGAATACCTTCCACAACTGAAGTGCCTGGAAGTCCCTCTGCCATCCCAGAAAGAATATCCAGAAAGAATGTGGGTCAATAATAGCAACACCGTCTCTCAATGAATAGAAAGTATTATAAAATACACAACAGGGAAAAGAAGACAAACAAATATTCAAGCAAGTCCACAGGGGGAAAATTCACCACAAAAAGATCAATCAGCAGAAACCACCAAAGAAATAGAAGAACTGCTCAGCCCACCAGATAAAGAATTCAGAATTTCATGATAAACAAAAGGAAGATGAGAAGGAAAAAAGTGAAATGAGGCAAGCTATCAAGGAGTTGAAGAATACAAAGAAATGAATGAAAGAAATGAAAATAATACGAGACAAGTAATCAATGAACTGAAGAAAGAAAATGAGCCATAAAAAAAAAGGAAATAAAAGAAATGCAGGTGATGAAAAGGCCACTAGAGGCGATAAAGAATGCTAGGAAAAGTAATGAAAACAGAATAGATGAAATGGAAGAATGAATCAGCACCCTCGAAGACACAGAAACAAAGAGAATTAAAAAAGAAAGAGAAGTATAAAGGAAAAGGAATGAAGAAACACTTCAAGAGCTATCTGGTACCATTAGGAAAGGAAACATCAGAGTTATAGGTATCCCAGAAGGTGAAGAGAAAGGCCAAGGAATAGAGAAAATATTCACAGAGATGATAAAAGAGAACTTCCCTAACATGAAGGAGATGAAAGTAGACATCCAAGAAGCAAGAAGAACCCCACACTACAATGATGATAGGAGAAATACAGCAAGACACATTATCATAAAACTTCCAAGAATACAAGACAAGGAAAAGATAATGAGAATGACAAGAGGGAAGAAACAAATAATCTATAAAGAGAAACTGATCTGGATGACATCAGACTTCTCCAAAGAAACACTATGGGCAAGAAGATAGTGGAGGGACATACTCCAACAAACTCCAAAGCATTAAATGCCAACCAAGAATACTCTACCCTGCGAAGCTCTCCTTCCTCTATGAAGAAAGAATAAGGACATTTTGATAAAAGCTACATATGAAAAACCCACAGCCAATATTATCCTCAATGGAGAAGAGCTGAAAGCCTTTCCCTTGAGATCAGGAACAAGACAAGGGTGTCGACTATCACCACTGCCCTTCAACATAACATTGGAAGTCTTAGCCAGAGCAATAAGACAGGAAAAAAACTACAAGGAATCCAAATAGGGAAAGAAGAAGTAAAACTGTCCTTATTTGCAGATGATATGTTAATCTACATTGAAAAACCCTAAAAACTCCACAGAGAAACTAATCAAAACCATCAATAAGTTTAGCAAGGTAGCAGGATATAAAATCAATAACAAAAATCAGAGGCCTTCCTATACACAAACAACCAATCAGAAGAAACAGAAATAATAATAATAAAAAAAAAATCCGCTTTTTTTAAAACAAAAACAATCAAATGCCTGGAAGTCAACTTAACAAAAGAGGTAAAGGACCTTTACATAAAAAATTATAAAACACTTTTAAAAGAAATACCAGGCCCTCCCTGGTGACACAGTGGGTTAAAGCACAGAACTAAGAAGCTTAAGTCACTTCCACACGATCCCCGCCTGCCCTGGAGGAGCTCCACATGGTGTGGCAGACCTCTCCTGCCCCACCCACTGCTCCCCTCAGCAATATACTTCGTTGATCTGCCTGTTCTGCTCCCCACTCTGTCTATGATGAATCTTCTCACCTTCCACATCTCTGGCCTATACCCCAGTTCTGTATGAATAAATAAATAAATCTTTAAAAAAAAAAAAGAAAGAAAGAAATACCAGAAGACACCATGAATTGGAAAGACATCCCCTGCTCATGGATCAGGAGAATTAACATCATCAAAATGGCCATCCTGCCAAAAGCAATATACAGATTTAATGCCATCACAATAAAAATCTCAGTGACATTCTTCAAAGAAATAGAAAAAATATTGATGAGATTCATCTGGAACAACAAAAGACCTCAAATAGAGACATTACAATCTCAAACTTCAAGCTATCCTACAGAGCCATAATAATCAAAACTGCATGGAACTGGAACAAGAACAGACATACAGACCAGTGGATTCAGATAGAAAACCCAGATATAAACCCACAGCTTTATAGACAGCTAATCTTTGACAAAGGAGAAAAGAAGATACAATGGAACAAAGAAAGTTTGTTCAGCAAATGGTGCTGGGAAAACTGGGAAGCTACATGCAACAAAATGAAACTAGATCACTAGTTCACTCCATTCACAAAAATCAACTCGAATGAATTAAAGACCTAGACATAAGAACGGAAACCATAAAATACCTGGAAGGAAAGTTGGGTCAAACACTACATGACATAAACTTCAGCGACATCTTTAAAGATGCTGAACCTAATGCAACAATAGTGAAGGCAAGGATAAATAGATGGGACTACATCAAGTTAAAGAGCTTCTGTACAGCAAAACAGACATTGCAAAAAACAGAGAGACATCCCTCTGATTGGGAAAACATTTTCTCACACAAAGCTAGCGATAAATGATTGATCACAAAAATATACAGAGAACTGATGAAACTCAACAAAAATAAACAACCCTATCAAAAAATGGGCAGAAGAGCTAAAAAGACACTTCTCCAAAGAGGAAATGCAGATGGCCAACAAGCACATCAAAAAATGCTCAACATCACTTGTAATAAGGGAAATGCAAATTAAAACCACAATGAGATACCACCTCACCCCAGTGAGAATGGCACATCTCCAAACAACTAGCAACAACAAATTTTGGCGAGGATGTAGAGAAAAAGGAACTCTCCTGCACTGCTGGTGGGAATGCAAACTAGTACAACCACTATGGAAAACTGTTTGGATGTTCCTCAAACTGCTTAACATGGAGCTTCCCTACAACCCAGCAATCCCATTCCTAGGTATCTACCCAAAAGACACAAAAACACTGATTGAAAAAGATACCTGTACCCCCATGTTTATTG